CAAACATACTGGGCACCAAGCCTATTTTAATTTTTTTAAGTTACCAACAGAGTATTATAAATGATGGTGGTTTAAAAATAAATAATAAATAAAATAAAATAAGAAATAGAAGCAAGAAAGGGCATCTCAAGCCAAAATACTTTGATATCAAAGAAGATCCACAAAGCACAAAAAGTCATTAAATAAATATATGTATTTTATTACTTGTAATTGTTTGTAGAAATTAGTAACCAATTATTTATAATTAATTTGGTGTACAAAAATTACATAAAAGAGAAGTTGTTTTATTTGTTTGTGCCGTCTATAAATTATATGAGCATAGCTTCTTTGCTTATTCTTAGTTTGAATCACACATATTTATAACACATTTATAGTGATTAAAAAGGTAGGGTGAGGTAGTTATAAAGTATTTTAAAGAATTTATATCATGGTAAATAATTCTTGATTTTTCCTCTCTTAACAAATGTTTATCTGGGTTAGCTAATGTATTTCAAACCAAGTGTGTTTACTACCTTTTAAACTGAGATTGTAAATTCTATAAACTTTATTTTGACAAGAATAATTCCAACACGTTATAAATTCCAATCTAATCTCTAAATTTTGGTAGTTACACACATTATTAAGTTAATAAATTATCTTAAATCTAATCTCTAAGTTTTGATATTTTCTAGTATTAGTAATTCAATAAATTATCTTAAATCATATTTTCATATTTCATAACAATTCTTGAATCACTTCTTATTATTTTAAAGTAAAGAATAAAATCCAACTAAAATCTAGCCACCATTTTCTATTTTTTTTTAAAGATATTAGAATAAATATGTGATCTAAGAATATTAACTTTGTTTACTCTCCAAAATTTAATCCTTCAATCCCTTATTTTACAAGTAGTGCTATAATTAATATTTTTTTTAAATCAATAGTATTAAGAATTTTCTTTTAGTCTTACAACCATTGTTTTAGGCTACTTTAGTCTAAAGTAGAGCTCAAGTTTTATCTTGTAAAGATTTATTATTTTATATAAAATTAAAAAATTTAAATTATTATACATTTTGGATCTTTTTTGTATTAATTTAAATCATATTGTTTTATTATTTGTAGTTTTATTTCCAATAATCACTTTTATGTGTGTGTATATTTGAAAAAATTATTAAACATATATTTTATAAAATATGAATAAATTTATATATGTATATGTATATATATAAGATTAGATTTTTTTATAGTAATTACATATATATACATAGGTTGTTGCAAGGTACTACAGTGTTTGGCTAATTGTAATGAATAGACTAATATTAGGGATTTTTATTTTAAATTATTTATCCCATTCTAATCTAAATTATTGTCATCAAAAGATGCTTTGATATTTGGTTCTATTATATTAAATATTTTCATTTTATATAGTTGATCTTTAATTATTCTTTTAGTGCTATTTATATATTAAGAATCTTCTTCATGAATATCATTCTTAAGTATTTGACTACTAATGTAAATTTGTTTCTACAATGAATTATTCAATTCTTCATAAAATTATTATTTTTTGTTATCTGACTATATTACTCTATTATAATCAAACTTTTCTGAATTTTAGAAAGTGCATGTAGACTTTGATATTTTTATGAAAGTTAATCTTATTTGAAGGTCCTTTTTGCATTGTCTAAGTTGAAATTTTGATATTTTTTATGTCTTTAAATAGTTTAAAGTTCCGTAGTTATGTGGAAATAGAGTTTATCAAGCGTTGCCTCTTCATTAGATTTCAAATAAAAGTATCATTCTTCCTTGTAAAATACCTTATTAAAAATAAAAAATAAATCTTAATCCTAACTAGAGACCTATCCTCTTTGTATCAAGTCCTGTTGAAATTAAATCCAATGTTCTAATTCCAACTTAAAACCTCAGAACAAACACATCCCACACACACCGTATTGAAAATCTCATAAATCCCGGCAAACTTTACCAAAGAACAAGCTCAATCTACTCACACTTGTGAAGCCACTCACTTAGGTAAAGCCACCGACCGACACACAGCCATATGACGGACGACCTCCTCAACTGCACCGTGGAATAGATTTCAAACATCATGGCAATTAGCAATTTGAAGTGCCTGCAGCAGGAATGGAATAAAAAAAAAAACGTACTCTCTTTACTGCATATTGTCGCATCATCCTGTGCTCTGCTGCAGTTGCCGAATTTCTCACCCTTCGATTTTGCAGCCGTGTGAGCGGGCTCTGCCTCTGCCTGGTTCCATTGCTGCAATTGTGTGTGTGTGTGTATGTGTAGCAGCAGCCCAGTAACGACAATCCAACGCACACTGATCATGGATGTCGTCACGGTAATGGAACCACTACCACCAGGGGGCATAGCACCGCCACATAACAACAGGAAATTGGCAAAAAACAAAAAAAACAAAGAAGGGGGCATCTAAAACCTTTACCTTTCGCCCAGCCAGTAAAGGTTCACCACTCTAGCCTAATAACACCCCCATTTTCCAGTAGCTCTCTTTTTGATTGAGTCTTTTGCGGCGACGCCCTTCAAAAAATTTGTCGCTGGGGAAGCATCATGCATTCGGCACGACCGAACTGGCATTTGAGTCTCTTCCTTGATTCCCTTTTCCCTTGTACAAGGGGTCAGTCAGTCTTTGAACTTGGAGCCGCTTGACCTTCACTTTAGTTTTCCCTTTCCTTTCTTTTTCTGGTCTATTTTCCCCTCCTCTTTTGAAACGAGCCAGAGAAGTGATCCTATTTTGAATGAAAACCAAACAAGTTGGGGGGTGGATTGTGAGTCGGACGAATGAGTGGGCACAGCAGAAAAGTAGTTCACACGATGGGTCTGGTTGCATTTTTTCGAATTGTGAACGTGGGAAGTAAGTTCGACAATGATAACTGTATGCACCGCAACGCGACGCTGGTCCGTCCAGAAAGTTTTTTTAAATGCCCAACGCGCGATGGCGCTACAATTTCGTGCGTATCTTTCACGTTTACTCCCACGTCAGTCTTAGAACCTAATCAAATTTGGTTTGTGGGAATCTGAATGTCCATCATTTTTTAACAGAAACTTAACCAACACCGTATTTCAAACCACAAAAAGTGTTGTAACTTCCATCTGTATTTTGAATCAACCAACCACACTTCACATGATCGCAATTCAAGAGATCACTGGTCACTATTCAATTGGTGTCGAAAAATCTTGTACAAGGTCTAGATTTTGCGAAACGCGTGATGTTCTATTTTGCAACTTGGACGCCCAGTTTGGAAACCTGGACTCGTCCCGATGAATTGCAACGCAACCACGGTGCGGCTGGAGAAAGCGGTGGAGCGATGCAGCAACAGTTTGTTTGAGAGAAGGCTCGACATCGCCACAAATGCGACTCTAGATTTGATACCAGGACTCGCAAAGATGTCCCCCATCCGAACAAGTATCTGCGAGGATCCGCGAACGAGTGAAGTTGGGGAGTGAGACGCTGCAAGTGCATGTGTTGCACTGAATCGAAAACCTCGGAGATGCCAATTCAGCGGACGGGTGGTGCACTTACCCCCTTGCGACTCTTCCAGGTTGCACTGGGGAATGGTGGCATGGCTCAGCATCAGATTGTACCGCGGGTGGTGGGCCAGTCGTGTTGTTAATCCAGTTTCGCCGCATGTGGCGGTGGATATCCGACACGCCGAATTAGCGAAGCCAATTTTGGACTACTCCGTCTCCCCCCTTTCAATTGTGTCTCCCCTTTTGTCGATGACGGTTTCCGCACCGTGGATATTCCTCTCCCCCCCTCAAGGGGCACGGCGGACGATCCCTCCCTCCCTCCACCCTGCTCCCAAAAGCTCGGATGCCCTTTTGCTTCTTCTGTTTTTCTGCTTTAGTTTTTCCGAGTGAGAGTGCCCTCCCCTCCCCTCGTTGGATTGAACCCTCTTTGGGTGCGCAAACAATTCCTTGGGCTTTCATTGATTGAAGCCTATTCAATAAAGGTCGATTTTGTATTAAACATCTTTGTTTGTGTGTTTAACATTTAGAAGCAGAACATAAATTAAATCGGTTTAACGTCCACAGTGAACATGAACTTTATTTTTATATTTTTACGTATCATATATATATATATATATATATATATATAGTTTGAAAGTTTGATTACATTATGTGCTTGCGCAAGGAGTGGAATACTGCTTTACAATTGTACCTAACTCTCGATTTTATTGGCTTGATTTGTAATTATTTGTGCACTCCTTACACCTATTTATTATGGTTTGTGCAGTTTATGCAGTTTAGCTTTATGCAAGTTTATTTTTTTATTTTATTATTCCATTCTTTTACTCTTGTGTGGTTTGATTTTATTTCATTATTAAGACTAATACCCGCATTCATGTGCCAATCCTTGACGCAAGGGAGAGAAACGCATGACTGTATTTGTATATATACACAGACACTTCAGTTTGAAAATAGTCATCAAACCGTATCTTTCACCATCAATTTCTATCGTTCATGCGCATCTTCATTTTCGAGCTTCATTTTGTTCTGCAATCGACTAAGACAAAAAACTGATACTGGGTGAGCAAGAATTCTCTGCAGTTTTATGTTGTGTATAAAAGAAGAAGAATAAAAGGATCTTAAACACGGAACATCTTCGTTGTTAACATACAAGAACCGTAAGCAGAGGATCCGAAGCCAACAGAGAAAGGCTGTGCAGGTGAAGCTGAAGGCCGCCATGGAAGGGAGGTGGTAGTTCTACTGGTCCCATGGCGAAAGGGCCCACCACCGCAGCGGGGGCGGTATTGGCAGGGCTTGAGTGGGCCAGACGGGGGGTGCAAAAATGGCACAAAGCGGCGATGGGAAGAAAAAAGGTGCCCGCGAGAGGAGGGAGAGAGGGAGTGAGTGATTGACTTACTGCGGCAGGCAGGCAGTGGAGGTGCGAGTGCGAGTAAGAGTGGAAGTGGGTAGATCTCACCCCCGCGCACGCGGGCAGGTATTGAAGAGAGTGAAAGAGGGGAGTGAAAAGGGAGGGAGCAAAAGGGGAGGAAACAGAGGAAGCAAGCGGGGCAGGCTTCGGCTCGGAGGTCAGCACCATGTCATGATCTCGCTACAAGACTGGGTTTGGACACTTTCCCCTCCCGACCAAACTGACAGCGTCGTTTGTTCTACCTGGGAAAAGGCTGGCGCTGCCGAGCTCTTTTGTGCAAGTCCACTTGCTCCTCAATCCTCCTCCAACATCCTTCAACATTCTCTCGAGTGAGGGAGACACTTCATTACAGTAGTTCGTTTTGGGTTGTGGGTTGAGAGAGAGAGAGAGGTGGAGGGGAGAGAGCAGAGGGCATGCGAGAGAGAGAGGAAGAGAGGTGGTGATAGAACTGGATTGAGGTCGTAGGGAAGAAGCAGTTTGATAGCTTCGTGAATCTGAAAGAAATCGGCACGTGGAAAAGGCACAGCATGCTCTTCTGATCTGTAGAGTGCTTTCAGAATAACGTCTGGGAGCCATGGCATCTCAGTCTTGGATCAGAGGGAATTTGCTCGGTGCAGGCGCTTTTGGAAGCGTGAACCTTGCGATTAATAGAGAGAATGGGGAAGTATTTGCGGTGAAGTCGGTGCAGGTGAAAGTGCGCTACGCAGGATCAGAAGCTGCTGTGAGAGCAATCGAGAATGAGATTGATATGTTGCAGAGACTGGATTCCAAGTATGTTGTGCGTTGCTTGGGCAGTGATTGGACTGAAGAGGGTGGCCAATTGATGCGCAACTTGTTTTTGGAGTACATGCCCGAAGGCTGCTTGACAGATTTCGTGAAGCAGTTCACGAGCTCCGGGGCTTTGGACGAGCAATTGCTGCGGACGTACACGCGCAGTATCGTGGAGGGAATTGATTACCTGCACAGCAATGGAATCGTGCACTGCGATATCAAGGGGAAGAACATATTGATTGGAAATGGAAACGTGAAGTTGACAGATTTTGGATCCTCCAAGAGAGTCGGCGCTAAGGTTGAGAGCGACGTCATGAATTGCGCAGCCAAGGTCAATGGCACGCCGTTGTGGATGGCACCCGAGGTTGTAAGGCAGGTTGAGCAAGGCCCCCCGTCGGATATCTGGTCCTTGGGATGCACTGTGGTGGAAATGGCCACCGGGAGAGCTCCATGGAGCCACTTCGCCAACCACTTCGCAGCCCTTTACCACATTGGTTGCACTGATCAGCTCCCCGAAGTGCCGGCTTCGCTCTCCGCGGAAGCACACGACTTCTTGTCTCACTGTTTCCAGCGGGATTCTTCCAAGAGATGGACCAGCGCACAGCTGCTCCAGCACCCTTTTCTAACCTCCCGATTTGTGCCATCTCCTATTGCTGTGAAAGCTCCCGCGTCTCCAATTAACTTAACACATTTCTCAGCACTTTCTGACAGCGATCCATGTGTGTCCTTTGAGGACTCTGTTCTGACCCTTGCTGCGCCCGCGCCTTCTCTTTCCAAACGAGGATTGGTTAGTGCGCAACCCGAGGCGCAAAAATGGGTTGAGGAAAATTGGTGGAGCACCCCTGCCAGCCCTGATTCCGGGCCATGGATTGTGGTGCGATCGCCGCGAAGCTCCTTTTCTCCTTCCATCGTGTCCCCAGATACGGAAAGCTCAACCTCGTCCATTGAAACCCCAATTGTGGGCCGGGATACCGAGGTCTGTGAGATCAGCTGTGATATCGAGGTCTCGGAGATTTCAACGGAGGGGAGCACCTCGGCTTCGTCACTTCACGTTTCAATATGTTTTGGAGCCCCCTCTTCACTGGGAGCTGTAGTTGGTGTTTCCTACGCTGAAAACTCTTTACTCGTGAGCCATTTCGACATTACCGAAACGGATTTCGGCTTTATGCCAAGAGGAGAAACTAGTGCAGCTTTTCATTGCCGTAGCTTGTCGGCGTCGGAGAAGTCTGTGTCATACTCCGAGGAGGGAGAATCCCCCAGTACTTATTGGAATTCACAACTCAGTACTGTAATCAGCACCATTAGTGACTCATATTTCAAGTATCGAAAAGTTTACCAGTCTAATGCGCAGATTCTCCATCACTGGTATCACGTCCTGATTAGAGGTGGCTTACGCAGAAGCAATAGGGACTTTGAATGTTGGAAATCTGATCATACTGATCACTTCATGTCACAAATTCCATATTTAGCACCATTGAATCTTCAAAAACATTTTCCCTTGCATTTCTATTGCATTCTCTCCCCTGTTTGCGTGTTCAACTTGACCTGTTTGGTTGTATCGGATGTCAACGAACTATGTGGGAAATTTTTTCTAGCTTCTGAGGAGCTTCCTCTTGTGGAATTTGCAAAAGTCACCAGTCTAACACTCCACTGTTGTCACCATCGTCGTCACAGTTCTTGGTATGCTTCAGCCCATCCACATTTCAGTTCCTCAACTCTTGTAGCCTTCATCGCAAACTGAACTTTTGTGCCACCAATCCACGGTACACTGATTGGCAACCTCGAAAATTGACAAAGCGACGGGACGATCCATGGGTCTGACTCTCAATCTTGCCTATTTGTGTTTTTTTAATTTTTTTTAATTTTATTGCCAGTGCATGCAGGCATATCCTGCACATTGCTGAGTTCCTGTGACGTCTTGTAAAACGATGTGTGACAGAGACTGATGTACGTGTGCAGGCAAGCTCTGTAAAGTTTTTTTGCGTTTTAACCTTCAATTTCTTCATTGATTAGTTCATGTACAATCCGCATGCCCTTCCGTGTTGCAGCGTCAAGCATGAATTTGAGCTCCGATTCCATAAATAGTACATACACACATATATATGTATATATATATATATATATATATATGTAAAAATTCGCAGTAGCAGGTCATCAGAAACCAAATGTGCTGGAGTTGACATGCTTTCCAAGATATCTCACTTTCAATCACTTATTCTTGTCCAACTGTATAACTCAGCATATCATTTCTACTTAAAAACAAGGGCTATTGTGGAAGCAAAAGAGAAAAGCACGAAGATGATTGTTTTTTTCTTTCTTTTTTTTCTTTCTTTTTTTTCTCTCTCTCTCTCTTTTTTTTTTTCTTTTTTTTTTTTTCTTTTCCTTTATTCTTTCTGATTGCTGTTGGTTTGAAGGGTCTATGTCTTCTGAAGCACAGAAAAGGATGTCGAGAGTTTGAAGCGACCATCGTTGTGCTAAGATAAGAGGGTCCGTCATCCGACAGCAATCAGTACAGGAACTGTACCAGAGGCAGCCACTCCATCCATTACCTGCATGCTCCGAATAAAATGTGAGGAACAGAGAGGGCCACATAGAGCCATCACGGGAATATTTTTATAATCGTCTCGCATGGCAATAATGTTGCACAGCTAGGGGCAGACTTATTGACTGCTGAGTGAATTCCAGAACTTCGCCCCCGAATGATTGATCGTGAATGAAAAATGATCTCAGATGAAATGGGACTTGTCTTCGTTGCAGTTCATAATTCGTACTGCAATCCCACACCCATTTAGTTTTACATTTTTTTTTGGGTACATGCCCCATGTTGTCGATCTGTGTGCGGTCTGTTCGTTAATCTCCACAACACGCCGCGACCGTTGGTAAGGTCTTGGAAAAGTTCAAGGTGCAACGAATCTCACCGTATGTCCCAAATGGGACGGCTGCCGGACTTTCCGAGGCATTGCATGGAGCCTCGCTGCAGTTTTTGGAGATTCATGGCCTGGAAGTCGGTTTGCAGACCCCACATCAGTGTGGATGGTTGTCTTGAAATGCGCGTGCACTATAGTGCTGGCAAGGATTTTGCACATCCGCCTTCATCTTGGAGCGGTGCAAGCTTAGAGCTGTGTCAGCAAATAGAAGCAGCACAACACCAAGTCTTCACTGAGCCGTCCAACAAATTATCTGGCATTTGGTTGTTTTCCTAGAGGTTTTCCCATAGCTGGGGGTCCCAATTTGACATAACTACTGTAGCCACGGAAGGTCGGAACCTTGCACACCAGTCATTGATGATTCTGTTCATTTCCTGTTTTTTGCGGCGAAGGAGCAGCTCTGGGCTTTGAAAGGAACTGTGCCTATTCATGTGATGTGTAACACCGCCCTGCATTCGGTATCGGAGCATCACCTCTTTTGAATGCTTCATTCATGAGGATCTAATGAGACGCTCATGTGATTTCCTTCTTCTCTCGCCGGATGCGTCTTGTTGTTGTGCTCGTGTTCAGATTGCGCAGATTGCTAATGTTCAGTTGTTGTCCTTGCCTGCGCCGTGGTCGGAACTTGCAGACTTGTTGGTTGCAATTGATTGGGATCGGCACCAGGTCGGAGTCGAATTGGTTCTTCACAACCAGAGAAAGACTCGGAAGTTGTAGAATGCGAGTTTCGGTAATCCAACGATCCTGATCTCGTTGGCTTTGAGTTTTTACATTCTTATCCGTTATTCACTTTCGAAGGTAATTTCAGCTATGGAAGTGTTCAAGAAACTATGCCTTCGTTCCCTTTCTCCGAATCAAAAGGGGGTTTTGAAGGGTTCTGAAAAATAAATGCCACTCACTCTTTCCGTTACATGGTTTTCGTCACTGGACATGCTCTTGGAATCTGCACACGCTAGTGGAAGCCGAAGTTGTGGGTCAGGAGGAAGGTGAAAATAAACGTTGTTATGCAAAACCTTTTCAAATCTGAGTACCACATTGCATGTTGATCGTGGTTAAAAGTGCGCTGTAAGGAACATTATGCCAGTGGTGAAAGATGGCAGTCCACCAGAAGTTGATCAAGTTTATTTTCTTAATGCGAAATTGAGCAACAAGTTGACGAGAATTTTAACTGGTTTCTGTAATCCTTGTTTTTTCTACTTATGTTAAAGCAAATGTTTTCGTTGAAACGAGATCACAGCGCACCTGCCAGCCAAGCTGGTATCGCTTTCTAGTGTAATTCCAGATGCCACCTCGATTCAATCTTTTTGGATATCGCATGTTATGTTGAGTTGCTGGTGCCACGAGTTTGCAGCTATCGCTGCTCATGGTGCACGTAGACTTGCAGTCTAGCCATGAGAGCGGTTCGAAGGCGAGCAGTAAACCTTGTTACTACTCCTGCAGGCTTTGCTATCAGATGCTTCTTCCTCTATTCAGCAAGAATTCTGGATGCAAGCGTCACTGATCTGAACTTTCTCGTAAGACGAAGTAGTGGCATTGATGAAAGTTGAGCATTGTCTTGCGGCAAGAATTCCACAAATACCTGTCACCTTGGAATGTGCGTATTCTGGTGGAGTGTCCGAATTCCAGAGGGTTTGTGCAAATGTCGAACTCGAAAAAAAAGATGTTTGCTTTTATTTCAGACGAATGTGGGGTCCTTCGAATCAGATTGTTCGATACCAGGGAAAAGAAATGGCATAGATTCGGAATGCATAACATCAGGTAAGGTAGCCTTTTCGACGACACATTTTCTGCAGGGTACACATTTTCTTAGGGCTAGGGTGCTTTGTTTCGACAACGGAAGGAATTGAGAAGTGTGAATTGGCCATCGTAGTGAATCCTTTCAACTGAGAGAATTTAGAACGACAGGAGATGTAGCAATTTTTTATGAGCCAAACGAGATAACAAACTTCAGAGTAAATATTAGTTTGGGATTTAGATTTTGTGGTTCAGCATGGTTCACTAGACATCATGCTTCCATTGGTTATCTAATTTTAATGGCAATAAAATTGTGAAGCTACATGCCGAAAGAAAGACGGTCGCCTATCTTTGTTGTAGAAACCAAGATATCCAGGCAAAGCCTTAGGGAGAATTGCGAAGCGTTCCAAAAGCCATGAATTGAATCGCACATGCAATTGATACAGCGTAACACACTTGCAAAATTGACAAGCTATATTTCGCAAGACAATCCTCGCACTGATTTCATATTTTTTGGGGTTTGCAGGCGACGTAGTTGACAATGTAGATGGCAATGTGGACAATCCAATAATCTCGCATTGGACCATCTAGAATGAACAGAGTGTGGTTTCAGAGCGTGTCACATAGCCTCACAGGTGATTTGAAGTTCCAGCGTGTATCTCTGTAAATGGATACAAACCTCATTTTGATGGAGCTGGGATTTATAATTGTGATCGACACTTTACTACTATCATAGTAGATATGGCTTCATCGAGGTTCAGTATTCGTGATTTCGGCTAGTAAGGCGATGCTTCTCTCTAGGAGATTGGCCGCGTCACTCTTCTTGACTGCATTATTCACTCGTTGGAGGACGATAAAAGCGTTTCCGGATCATTTATTTGGTTTGAAAAGCAGCATGATTTTAAAGCAGCTAAATTGTCTGAGTTCCTACGCAAGATTTTCGCAACAGTAAATCCAAAGCCTAGGTTAGTTTTAAAAATAGCATTCAGGTGTGAAAAGTCGAGTGACTCTGCTTCCGAAGGTTCCATTCTATGATTTAAAACTCTCTTTGTCGCCCTAATCGACTCTTTCCTGCACATGAATAAATTTATTCATGTAAAACAAATTCACAAGTCTTCAATGCCCAACTGAAAGGATATGAGTGTCAAAGTACGATAGAAGACCCCAATTAACAGTTCAAACATCCCGGATCTCCTCGTCAAAGCATGTTGCAAAATAGAGACGTGCAGGATCTGCATTAAGGCAAGGCTTCTATTAGCTTTGACATGTAGGTTGAGAGCATTATACCGAACCCAAACCTCAGGAATTGTCAAATGTCAAACCTGCGATACCAAACACCATAAATAAAAACAAAAACTCGTGTTCTAATCTTATTCTCAATGGAGAAACCAAGTGATCATGCAGTAGAAGAGATGAAGCAATCCCCGAAATCTACAGAATGTGCAGAACTGGTATCAAGGCAAACATCCACGCTCGATAAATGTAACTGTCGTAATTACCTTATATACAAGTGCTCTCTACCTTGAAGGAACTTCCTGAGAAATGATGAAAACCCCATGTCATCCGCACGCATACCTTCAGTCTGCTCCAAACCCCACTGTAATACAGAACCTGCTTTGCATGCAAGTTTACGTAATACTTTCAAACATCCCCATGCTCGAGAAAATGGACAACTTCAAGCAGAATCACTGGGTGCTTCCCTCAAAACTTTCAAATAGCGAACCCATTGTCGAAGGTAGGATCGCCCTCTTCGAAGACGCGGCCCAAGAGGTCGCCATTCAAGGTCCCGGCTGCCATGATCGTCCTTTCCTTGGGCTCCCAGCGCGTCCCGACCACTTTCAGTCGTGCCATTGATTTAGGTTTGATCACGCTTCCCGATGAATCATGCCACTCATTGTACTCCAGGGAAGCACCTGGACGGAACTCGAACCCATCCATCTCCTTCCGCGGGACGAAGATCCGTGACGCGCCGCAGGCTGCGAGAGCACGCATTGAACTGTTATCAGCAAAGGAAATTCCCAAAGACGACTGCCAATTGTGCAATCTGTAAATACTACTCATGTACAAACAGCTCTGTAAACTTGTCGCTGCGGATGTGGTGACCAAACCACACAACTATGAGCTCCTGAGTGATCGCACAACAGACGGACGAAGGTTAGGCACTCACCTGCCAAAAATCCCCTCTCCAAAACATCCGTGACCTCCGCTTCAAGGATCTCGTTACGAATCGGGCGGAACACGATGCACTTGAATGTCACCCAAAAGATCACGGAGCCCGTGCCAGACCGGATCTTCCCCGGCGACACGTCCTCCAGCGTCGTCACGGTCACGTGAAACCCATGCTCCTCCGAGCAACGCTCAGCATCAAAATCCTTGAGCAAGCGCCGAATCATGGCTCTTCGTGTGTGCAGCTCATCGCCGAGCTCCTGCGGCTCCACCACCACGAGACGCCGCAATTCCACCTCGAAAAACATATCGCTCTTCTACCAACTGCAAAAAACCCACAAGGCGATCGCCCAAACACGTGCTAAAAACAGCCCCTCTTCGCTCTAACACTACCAAAACATGGACCCCATTGCAGATACAACGAGGACGACCACACTTGGAAGGCGTCGACAACAACAACAACCTTCGCAACCCGAAACCCTAAAACTGGGAGCTTCGATTTGGGACCAGCTTCCAAGGCAGAATGTGTCATCCCATCTCCATCACCATCGAAGTGGTAGCAACACTTCCACCATCACCATGTTCATGGCGACATCAGCTTGTCTTCCTATCCCCTCCACTCCTCCCTTTTTGTTATGTTAGTAAAAGAACAATCAAACTTCTTTAAAGGTGAGATAATTCATCTTTTTGGTGTGCATTTCTTTCTCATGAGGTGTTATCTTGGAATTTTTTTTGAGATAATTTAACAAACAAATTTTCATATGATTGGATTTTGCTATTTAGTGCATTCTCAATCTTTGCTTAATGCAACACCATCAAATAAATTTGTTTTGCTAATCAAATTGAGGCATGTCTACTTACATGATTATAGCAATCAAAGAAAAATTGTCATCATTAAGTTTAAGTTTTACACAAATCTTGTCAATCCAATCCTTATTGGCCAATTAATGGCTTGTTAGAAAATCTTTTACTTATGAATTTTAGCATTCTTTGTTTGTATATGAAATAAAAATTCTTATTGGAAAAAGTCCTATATATATATATATATATATATATATACTATTTCTATTTCAATTTTTTAGGTCTCGTGAACTATTATAATTTGGTTCTTACTTTGTTTATTTTATTTTAATTTTAAGATAAAACTATAATAGATACAATGCTAATTAATCTACATAACTATTTATTTGGCACCATCAAAACTAATCATATTAAAACAATCACAATTCAATACAAAATTTAGAATGTTATCTCTATGCTTGTATATGTTTAGAAAAGATTGCCTATACATCTTTTCAATTGCTTAAGATTCAAAAAAATAATATGTTCTTCTTATTACTTATAATCTTTAATCTATCAACAACATCTATGTGTCTTATTTATGTATTGAATATATTGATACTTGTGTTAATGTTTATTGGCACTTAATTAAAATTTGAATAGAAAAAAATCACTTTCTAATAGTTGTAATTTCTCTAATATTACATGTCATATGGTAGATTTTATTATTAAGATTTTGATATGTAAATAAATCATGTAATAGGAGAATTCAATTAATACCACTTTTATACAAGTTAAAATTTTAATTTTTATTTAATTTTTATTTATTTTATTTTATATAGCATTGTTGCCAATAGAAATATATCACATTCATTTAGAATCTAATCCATATTCATTTAGTTTTTACTATATAAGGTTTTAGATTCTTTCTCATTAAATATTATTTTCTATCGAATTCACTACCAAATTAAAATAAAGAAATAAAGAAATTATATAATATATTATTTATTAACAAAGACTATAGATTAATCAACTAGTTTTTAAATCTAATAGATTGAACTAATCAATTTTATAATATAGATAGTATCAAAGACAAAGAATGACATACTTAACTCACTCATCTCACCTCTTGCTATAAGTTTGGATATTAAAAAACTTTAAATAAAGATTTTTTTAATATACCATTTTTATAACAAAGCTTATAGAATTTTTATTCTACAAATAATTCTTCAATGGCTACTAAAAACTTATATATATTAACATGCTAGTTCTACATCTCTTTTGCAATCTTACAATAGCTTACATAAATATATTGTAAAGATTTGATGTTTTGTATAATCTATGTGTATTTATTTAGATCTTATGCATCCTACTTTAGTTCTTTCACATAATAGATACTTTTTAATAAAAACTCACGACATAATTTTTTTTTCATGTAAATAATCAATATAATAATCAATTAATAGAGAGATAATTATAAATTAGCATTCTAAATATAATAATAAAGATTTAATATTAAAATAGAAGATACATAATGAAGGTAGGATATACTATAATCATGCATTAATATTTTATTATAAATATATATATATATATATATATATATATATCAAAAAATTATTACTTAGACTATTTTAATACTTTATTCAACTGAATGTCATAGATATAGATATTTATTCAAATTAAAGGAGTTAGATAGAAGTAAATAGAAGTAAATAGAAGTAAATATATTTGATAAAATCTTATAGAGAAGCTTCATAGATGTGGTTTGACTTTATATGTGTTTGTAGGGAATTGGTAGGTTGAAAATTTAGCCATCAAGTTGGCTACATATTACTCATATTAGCTACTTGTGGTAGAAGTTTGTCATATAACTGTCATGGATGCACTATACAAAGAAGAGAACAAGAAATTGAACAAAAGAGCTTCAACAAGAAAGCTAGTAAGAACTTTATTAAATCATATGAATATAAGATCAATATCAAGAGAGATGAATTAGAATTACAAGAAATGTATTGTTGAGAGTGAGGATCCCTTCAACCTCAACTCCAATATATACTAGGCATTAGGAAGCTTCTTAAGAAATTTCCATGTTGCTTGAAGACAAAGCAATCTTAAGAAGCTTCTTGGATAATTTCTTTAATCTTCTTAGAACTTTCTAAAATCTACTTAAATATTTTGTAAATCTTTTAAAATTCTTTAAGAATATTTTTAAAATCTTCTAAAATATGATAGAATATTTTAATAATATTTTAAAAATCTTCTCATTTGATGTCCATAACATTATATCTCTTTCTAATTCCAAGTTCTATAAGGAGCACAGATTTCATATCTGCAATAGAATGATCAAAGCTTAAGCATTATCTTTAAGGTTTTCTTATTTGAGTTTAGTATGGGTATTTCCTCCATTGAGAAGGTCCAGCTTCATCTCAAGGATGACTTTTATAAACCATTGAATTGACTCACTTTGATATTTAGTATAAAAAATATACTTATTGTGCTTAAAACATAAATTTTATGAATTAATATTAGAATTTTAGGAAAAAATAGAAAATAAATTTCTAATAGCGGATATGCAATCTATGATAGAATTTAGTAAGAAAAAACTATAAAGAATATATTTTTCTAGTTAGCTAGTAGTAGAGGAATTACAAAGGAAGTAGTCTTGATGTCAAAAAAGAAAAAATAAATAAAATCTAGTGAAATTTAATTATGATGGATTTGAAGATTTTTTCCAAATTCAACAAATTCAAGTGACAAAGTGATTCTTCTAATCTATGGAAGCCTTTCAAATACAATGGAGGCATCAAATACACCATGTAGAGTGAAGAAAATAAGTTCAGCACCCTTTCCTTCAAAGTACAAGTAGAGAAATGAAATTCTCATTTTTTGAAGAATTTTACAAATATTGCCTAAATCCTTGTAGGTAAAAAAAAAAAAAAAAAAAAAAACATTCATAAAAGTTACAAAGGAGCATAGATTGATGCATGTGAATAGTCAATCTTAGCATAAAAAGGTGTTTTAAACACAATGATTAAGTTAGATTTATCAAAAACTGTTTATTTTTCTACTTACAAGAGCCATCAGCCTTAATGACGAAATTAGCTCTTGGATGAAGGAAGGCCAAGATCTACATTAGGAATCTTAGAGATCAAGGGTGGAGATGTGGCCGCCCTTCCATAAGCCACCACTCAATTATATAAGAGTGGTTTGGTTTCCTAAGCCTCTCTCTCTCTTTCCTTTTTGACGAGGACAAAGCCATGCCAAAGTGTGGTCTCAACCTTAACCCTAATCTTAATTTTTTGCTTCTTTCTTGATCTTAGATCTCTTTGTGAACTTTAGGAATATATGAGCATTGATTTTGTGTTGTAGGTGGTGCTTGTTGTGGTTTAAAAGGTGCCCCTTTGCAATTAGTGGTCACTAACCATTTTCATAGTCAAAAGGGTTTGAGGGGCCTCGAATTTTCCTCAATCGGTTCAACTCCAAATTGAGAAATTAGGTGAATTTTTGAGTGCAAGGGGGCGGCTGCCTTAGCAGTTTCAATAATCCAACTTTGAAAAGGCATTCCTCAGTGCCAATTAATGAGAATATTTTGAAATTTTGGAAGTACAAGCATCTTCAATCTGATCTTCTATTGGCATAAAATTCATTAAATTTGAAGCAATTTTGAATTTTTAACGAAGTTTTGAGTGAAGGGGGGTCGGCTACAATGGCAAGCCCAATGACCCAACTTTGAAGAATCATTGCTCGCAGCTGAGGTATTAGATTGCCTCGAAAATTTTGGAGCAAGAGCGCCTTGAAGTTGAATTTCCAATATAACAAAAATTATTATATTTGAAGCTAATTTGGATTTTTGAAAATTTTTGGAGTAAAGGAAGTGCTTCCCTCAATCCTTGGACATTGTCAAGGTACTTCTGCTTATATCTCTCTTAATTTATTTTTTCTTTTATTTTATTTTATGTTATTTTTTTCAGTAGCTTGTAACTTCTACATTCACTTTTGGCTTTAATTTTTAACATTTAATCTTCTCCCTTTTATTTTTATTTTTTTATTTTTTAATCTTTACTTTATTTTTTCTTTTTACTTTACTTTTATTTTTTAAACTTTACTTTAAAATTTTAATCCAACCTTAAAAAAATTAAAATTACTATGGATTAAGAATAATAACTTAATTAATTACTTTTACCATTAGTTAATTATGAAGTGAAAATTTATATATATATTTTTTAAAAATAATAAAATAATAAAAAGTAATAAAAATGATCTAATAAAATAATAATAATAATAAAATAAAATTAAATAAAAAATCAAATCAACTTATCTAATTTGAAGTAGAAGAAGGAACTATTTTGCATGAAGTTAAAGAACAAATTATCATTGTGAATGTGAGTAATGTTAGAAGATTTGATTAATAACTTGGTGTTTTAAGAAGAACAAGTAATAAGTGGATAAGAATTTAAATAATAGCTTATGTTAAATTCATATAGTTAATTCACTTATTGTGAATTAGAATAAACTTCCAATTAGTGGAGGTTTATTTTAGCTCACAACTTTATGTAGATTGCAAGAATTAAAATAGTTAATCTAGTAGCACTAATATAGAAAGCTTCAACTCTTGCTCTACTTTAAGATTCATGATCTAAAGACTTTTTAAATACTCTCCAATTTGACATATTGGATCATAAATTGATTACACTAAATTCTAAGGTTGCTAAAAAAAATATCTACTTTCTTTGTTATATACAATATCATAGTAGTAGTTTCATAGAGAAATCATCTTTTAATAGGTTGAGGTTTTTGAGAATAGCATCAATGAA